TGCGCCTTATGTGTGTGTTAAATACAGTAAGGGCACACATAACTGAGACTGCGCCTTTTAGCACAGTGCGCCTTATGGTTGTGAAAATACGGTAATGCGTTACTTTAGAAAAAATGTAACCCTCTGGGGTGCAGGGTGTAATTGGCCATTTTTAACTACTTTTGATTTTCCCTCCACATTTCACCTTTAAAAACTATTTACTTTGCCTTGCTTGGCATCATTCTTTTCAGCACAACCTCACGTGTCTGAATTTACAGTCATGTTTTCATTTTGACATACTGTCAGACAAAAAAAACAAAATCCGAGTAGAAAAAGTTATATGTTCTATTGTAACAACAACAAACATGTTTATTGAATCATATTTCATAACTTCCATCCATCCATCCATCCTCATCCTCTGCATTACTGCAGCTGCAGCCCTGATCCGTCTGTCGATCTCCTGCTCCCTTCTCCCATCACTCGCGAACAAGACCCCGAGATACTTGAACTCCTCCACTTGGGGCAGAAACTCATCCCCGACCCGGAGTGGGCACTCTACCCTTTCATAACTTTAAATGCAAATATAAATTGTCAATTTTAAAAATCATGTGGAGAAGTTTTGCAAACAACAAAGTTATTTGCAGCTATTTACCTTTTACCCCTTCTTTAAATAACCATTTCAAACTTTACATAACAATCAGCTGTTCTGCATTAAATAAGATGCCACACAAATTATTTGTGCCACTCCAAAAAACTCATTTTCTCTGTCCCCTATAAAGGAGAACATCACAGCCTGATACTTGCAGGCCTGACAGCAGCAGGTGTATCACGCCTCTTGTTTTCATTCAGCAGTCGCGTCATTGTTGTGACACACAACGCAAGACTATCCACAACGCTACACACTAACTACACAAGACAACACATTAACTACACACTACAAAAACGCTAAACGTTACAAATCTCTTTTTCTGCTTTCTATCTCTCTCTCTCTCTCTCTCACTCCTAAAATTTCCACCTCTTCCTAAACAACCAAATGTCATGTTACCATATCATCTTTTGATTGGTCAACATGGTACCAATCAGGAACCATGCCCGTTCCACCAACACGAATGGGCTGTTTTTTGTTTTGTTTTGTTTCTTGTTTTTTTGCTCATAAGCAGAGAGTGCTTGTTAGCACTGTACTTAAACAGTAAATGTGACGAAATTATTGAGGAAAAAACCCTGCGTATATATTGTTTATCATGACTCTGGTTTATCAGCACAATTTAAAAACTGTTTGTTGTTGCTTTGTCTTTAAGTGGTCATGTGATTGGCTTACCACGACTACTTTATTCTTCCTCAGCGAAACAGCAGCACTCATGTGATTGTTTTGCCCCTTTAGCTCCAAGTGTTGTGCCAAAAAGTGATTACCGTCCGCGGGAGCGCGCGCAGCTGCTTAAAGCTGTTGCGCCCAGATTACTTACGTAGACAGCTACTTAAGATGCGGTAAGCTGAACACAGCTTCAGCCGTCTGTTTGGTGGAAAATAGTAACGCGACCGCACCGCATTTTCTTGTTAGTAACGGTAACAGCGTTGTAACAATAGAAATAGTAATTAGTTAGATTACTCGTTACTGATAAAATTAATGCCGTTAGTAACACCGTTACTTGTTATTATTCCCATCACTGTCAATCACTAAGAAGCAAGGCTGCTTTATGAAGCCATCGACACGCTTTTGCTGTGGTCTGACTGAGAGACAAGGCCATACTGGACTTTTATCAGTTGGCGACTTGTCAGTAAAAAACACAGGCTTACTCTAAACTCATACCCTGCTTTTTTAGTGGTTATGGGGACAGTTATTTAAAAAAAAAAGATCGTGCTCTATTCAGCAAAATCCAAAACTAGTGATTAAGACCATAAACTCATTAACTAATTGGTGACTTGGGTCATATTGCAAGCGAGCAAAAAGCAAATTTTGAGTGCAATTATCCACACAAGAAAGTACATTTTGAAAATGGCACAAAACAAACATCATCCAGACTAATCTTCAGCCTTTTGGTGTTTAAGTAAAATGACTCTGTTTCTTTCAGATCCTGAGACCAACGGAAAGCCATTCTCAGAAAATATACTCAAGAACAGATAATCCATTACAGAAACTCTTCTTGACACAATGGAGAGCTCTGCAGCTACAACAGGCACAAATGTGAACTTGCAAAATGAAAAGCTGCAAAACAGTGAAAGAGGAAACACCAGATGATAAAACTCCTTTCACTTTTGTAGCAACCCAAAAATGGATCGCGGCTGATGCAGACACGAGATATTAAATGGCTGTCGGTCAAGCTCTTCTTGACAAGAACTGCTTAACCCGTATGTTCCAGTTACTCCACATCGGTGGCATCCAATCCCAGGAGTGGATCATTAAACATGAATGTCAGCTTCAGGTTTGTATCATCGGTCAGAGATGGCAGAAGTGCAGACTGCCACACACAAATAGCTGGTCCAGGAACCAGTCGGCACACAACAAAACAAGCTAAAGACTTTCTCTTTTTCTATGTCTGTCCATCTGCATCACCTCCTTTCTGTCTTTATAACAGCCCTCTGTGTAGCAGCTCATCTCTCTCCCTGTCTCTCTGTGTCAATGTCTCAATGATAAGCACATTGCTGTTTGGTGCTTCTCCTGTCGTGATTGTTTTAGCCCTTACAATCCCAGTCCTGATTATGGAATGATTATATTGTTGGGTTGGAAGTATTAAAAAAACGCACAGTTATTTGTTTTTAAGGTTAGATTTAGGAGTTTTCCTTCTCGCTTAAAGGGACTCTTAAGTCCAGCTTGTTAATTCGGGGATAAAACATCAGGACAACGTGAAAAACCATGCATGTGCACAGTTGCAGCCAATTTGTTACCACTTTGATTGACTGGCGATGACTGAAAACCTGGATAGTGATATAATCTATGTGCTACTAAGTGTATTTTTCAGTTGTTACTAGGGCTGGGCGATATGACCCAAAATTCATATCTCGATATTTTTTAGCTGGATGGCGATATAAGATATATATCTCGATATTTTTTTTTAAAGCCATAAGTTAAGAACAAAAAGAGAGTTCTTAGTCACACTGTGTCGCAGATGTCACACGGGCACTTTTATTTACATACAGCGTAGATGTACATGAAGAAATTACTTAAAAATAAATTATCACAATTTATTAAATAATCATGGTCCATAAATAAAAGAAAACAATGTTGTTTTTGTGCATAACAAAAAGCTCACAATTGTGCAGTCAAAATGTAAACTAATAGACGCTGAGCATAATAACAAAGAGACAGATTTCACAGCTGCACCACGTCTCTGAACAGGTGCCATTTGTGGTCCTTATACACACACAGTACGGTAATATTACGTTGAAGCACAGTACGTATCACTCCGCGAGGCTCCTCCCCGGTAGCCGTAATCCTTCGACAATCCATCAAGCGGTGCAGCTCCGTAGCTTAGCAAAGTCATATTAAAACATTTTTTGACAGATTGCTGAGCGCTGTGTACCATATAAAATCGGTTCGCGGTCAGTAAGCACAACCAGAATTCATACATAAGGCGCACTGTCGAGTTTTGAGAAAATGAAAGGATTTTAGGCCGTGCAGCTCCTCCGGGCTGCATGTCGTTAGCGCGGTTAGCTCGTTAGCGTGGTTAGCTCGCTAACACGTTGACGCCGTCCAGCCCCACGCACGGGACGATCCGCGGTAACTCGCTAACGGAGATTTTCCGCTTTCATCTTGTCATTGCCTGCAGGTGAAGCTATGGGGGAGGGGGAGTTGTGTTCAGTGAAGGAGAGGCGAGGCCGAGTAACGTTGCGTAGAGACAAAAGTGGACGAAAGAGAGGCAAACCTGCGGCCCCACAAGTATAATTATAACGTAACATAGACTATATCGATATAAACGATATTGTCACATCTTATATCTCGTATGAAAATATATCGATATTTTTAAAAAACTCGATATATCGCCCAGCCCTAGTTGTTACAATAACTAAAAATACAACTTAAACATGTGTCATTATCTTTAATACTCTTGACAGTTGAACAGTTCAAATTCATATTCATGTCTAATGTAACAACCAAACTAATCAGTTTTATGTGGCCCAACGACGGAAGGATTACGTTTTTGTATTGATCCGATACCAATTAATACATAACAGGTATTACCAATACTAATACTGCTACTCTTGACCTATGAAGGCAGCTTATGTAGGGCAGAGCAGTGTGTCAGGATTTATGAGATGAATCGTTAATTTGCAAATTTTAAACACTAAATCATCATAATTTTTACTTTCCGTAATAATTAGTTAACACAACGAAACACAACCTTTAGCTTTTCATGTATTTTCAAAATGAATTTTTTGGAGATCTGGAGTGTAAATGTGCCTGTCTCTAAAGCACCGTGGGTCAACTTCTGCTGTTAAAATGGGCTATAGGATATGAATAAAATAGACATGACAGTCAACACAAAAAAGGGAAGACACTTTTCATAGTGTGTGTTTAAAGTATTTTTTTTTTATTTCCCAAAAAAGTTATTGGGCTCCATATTGAACTTAGACGACGGAATCAAAGTATTGATCGTATCACACTAGTATAAGTGGGTGGATCCAACCGCCTCGACTCAAGATTCCAGCAGGGTATTTTATGCAGGAAGGAGTTAATTAACATGTAAAAAAAAATCATTAAAAAAAGACCAAAATCAACAATCAATTAGTCCTGCTACAAAGTATGTCTAACCATAGCCTTTTATAATTAGCTTTGGGGAGGGTGTGGCTCAGGAGGTAGATTGGGTCATCTACCAATCAGAAGGTTGGTGGTTTATTCCTGTGTCTGTGTGTTGAAGTAACATTGGGCAATATGCATCCATCGTGTGCGTGAATGTTAGATGAAGGCACTTGTCTAAGACTTGTCTAACAAGATCTAGAAAAAAGAGTCACTGGGTGAATGAGGCTTGCGGTTACAACTGATGTCAGAGTTAAAAGAGCGCTATTTAATAGCAGTCGCCAACCTTTTTTGCGTAGGGTATGAATAACCCTATTCATAACACACTGGAAACCAGGGAAACCGAATTAATGATAAAAACGATAAAAAATATCGATAAAAACTGATAAAAACCCTGAAAACAATCAATTTCACACCTGAGCCTCAACTCTCGTGGCCCATTACGAAACGCCTCACAGACTATTACCGGTCCGTGGCCCAGGGGTTGGGGACCACTGCTATATAAGTACCAGTCCATTTACCACCAGTGTGTACTTAACAGCAGCTGAAAGTAGTCCCCAAAATATATAATCTGCTAATTCCTGATTAGGCAACATTTGTGGGTAAAAAAGATCATAATTGCCCAGATGTTCCATGTTTAAAAACAGAAAGTAGATGTGTTTATGGCAGTTCTAAAGGTTTATGTCTTCAGTCGGAGCAGATGGATGAAAAGTGAGCGCTGTGGGCAGATTAGCGAACAGATTGTTGGTTTTAGTCTTTTCTCGGGATTTGCAGACAAAAACGTATATATGTAAAATAAGAAGAAGCTAATTCTCAAAAGCAAAAACAAATGGAGATTATATTTGAAGTCAAGGGAAATCATAATTTGCTACCTAAGCTTTTAAGCAGATGTGGATACAATATTAATAAATGAGAAATCCAGTGTACATTTTCATAGTGTTACTATTCCAAGGGATACAGAAGAAGGAGCGAAACACATCATCTGGCTAAAGATAAAGGCTTCTTTTTATTTTAAAGTTTCCTGTTGAATTATATTGTATTATCTGCACAAATATATTGGACAGCAGCCCCTTTACACCGATGCTCTCTAGTTGAGTTCCCTCAAAAAGTCGACAGAAAAATGCTGCGAAGCTGAACTCAGCAGAGTTGCATCCTTATTAGAGATAATGAGTGAATGTCTGAATGCCTCGCTGGTTGAGATGGCTGCTAAAAAGGAGCACGTATACGCACATATACAATTTAAATACTGCCGCGTGCTGAGAGAGAGCAGGGCTTTGCGTTCTCATCAAAATCAATTCTGCCAAGGCCTCGCCCTGCCATCCATTTTTCACCCTCTCCCTACTTTATCGGCCTTTCTTTTTTCTTCCTCTGTCCCCAGCCACCTTTATCCACCTACATTCTCCCCCATTTATGACTTCACCCTCACTTTCAATCCCTCTGTCACAATACTCTTTTCCTCATATATCACATCACCCTTCCTTGTTTCTACCCTTCACCAGTCTCGTCCTCGCTCTTCTTTCCTCTCCCCTGATTCTCATTATATCCACTTTCAGGCTCCCGTTAGCTGCCTTCTCCCTCTTGGCATCAGCTCTGCTCTCTCTCATTCATTCGGCGCCGGCCCACTGCCTATCCCTCGCTTGCTCTTCTGCCCATTTATCACCTTTTTGTCTCAGACTGGCTGAGATGGACACTTTACCTGCTAAACAAGTGAAAAAAAATAGACTAAAGGGAGGAAGAAAATGAGAGATTCAGTGAAGGAGAACTCTTGAGGAAAGGGAAAAATAAGATAAGTAGAGGAATTTTTCACTGATAAGCACATTTAAGTATAGCTTAAGAAGCACTTTTTACACAGTTTGGGGCTTTTCTAAAACAAACAAACAAAAAAATGTATTTACTCTAATAACTGTTAGCATGTCTGGTTAACTAGCTAACTAGACAGTCCTATTCTAAACCAGCATTGTGTTTATGCAGCATTTCTGACATTGTGGATGCTAGCATTTCATAGTTGCTAATTAGCTAGCTTGCACTCTTTATTGGATTTGGGTGAACAGCACCAGCCGCTAAACGTACCAAGCACATTGGTTAGTCTTTATCCTTAAAGCCTTTTTGTCTTTTGATGTGAGAATGGTTTGAATGTAATAGTAAGGCCTTTAATATTTCTTTATTAATACTATATAACTTCTAGTATATACCAGACCAGTCCTCTGAAAACCACAAGTCTTTAGGCATGAAAACAGTATAGGCATATAGCCAGTGTTGCCAACTCCTCAGTAAGGAAAATTGCTACTAGTGGTCCTAAAAGTTGCTAGAAGTCGCTAAATGACATCATCGCCTAATTGCATAATTGGTCATGCTCATGTAATTGTAAGTGAGCCATAGGAGAGAGAAATAACATCGTGGAAGAGACATAAAATTAGTAAAAAAAAAAAAAAAAAAAAAAAACATCCTAAATACATTTAGAATATATTTAGAACTACAAATTAAATTTCTTTTAGCAATTATTGTTTTTTTAATGTCCCAATTCCAACCCTCCTACTTTATCCAGGCTTGGGACCAGTCAAAAGTGACTCTGGCAGAGTTACTTCTTTTGTGTGTGTGTTTTTAAGTAGTTTTGTGATCCACAAAAAGTAACAGTTAAAGAAGAACTGACTGCATTACAGTCATGGCGAGAGCAGCGGCTTCGCTCATGTGTGATTCATTTGCAGTTTGGACGTGTAGGGGTGAACATGTCCTGCTCTGACAGTAGATGGGGGTGACTCCTGTATGAGGACTACCTGCTGCCAAAGGCACGGTGCCCACAGCAGCACCCACTGCTTGTTGAGAGTAAGATCGATACGTGCTTTCACGTCAAAAAATCGTCATTAGTCTTCCTAATAACACCAGCAAAAGTCGCCAGATTTGTTGCTAGTTGCTTTTTAGAAAAAATGTCGCTAATGGGGTCTGAAAACTCACTAAATATAGCGACAAAGTCACTAAGTTGGTAATACTATAGCCTTCAAGGCAAGGTTTTAATTGGAGCTAACTTTAGCTTCATTAGCTTGATAGCTATAGCAAATGTTGTATGCTAGCATTCGCTGTTTTTCAGGAGCCAAACTCAGCAGCCACTGGTTAGAATCCAGTGAACTGGTCACTCTTGAATGAGAAACCGTTGTCATCTAAATTTGCAGAATGGTTCAAAATAATTAACAATAATATCAAATGGTTGTACAGGGAAGACAAGTGTAGCTCAACAGAGGAAAGGTTTATTGAATGCACATTGGAAAGGTGTTCCAAATGAAGGAAGGAAAAATCCACAAAAGTAATTTAACAGCAGCTATAAAATCTCGTCTTTGCTGATCTTTGGTGTTTAATTTATATGCCAGTGATACTGAGGCATTAGGCTTTACACTTTTGATCACAGAAAGCATTGAAACATTGGTTACTCTTTAATGTGGGATGAAGATAAAAAAAATCAACAAATTCGTTCACATATCAGTTTCTTAAACTATATTGATGTAAAACAAGCGTGTCTACAGAGCAGAGGGATTTAAGAAATTACTTCGAATGAATAATAATTTAGTAGAGTATAGGGACAAACTGTCTGACATTAAAGAAACGAAATTAAGTGGTACAAAGGCAAACATTCAAAGAGAAGACTGGTGATTTTGGGGAGCATATGATACTTGAGGCGATGACAGAAGTAGGGCACCATGACCAGCACTGTAGAGCACAGCAGAATTAAAGAACAAGCATGTCAAACAAAATAGACTCCAGGGAAGTGAATGTCAGGCTTTTTCAAAGAGCAGTGTAGCTGGTCTTTTAGAAACTTGTGTTAGACTTGCTGTTGTTGCTCTGTCTGCACATGTGGACAAAGAGGAAAGCAGAGAAAGGTTTCAGTCAGCAAATCTGGAAGTATTTTTAAAAAGCCCTCTTGTTTCCCATTTAACATCTTTTTTAAAAGGTCTGCTAAAACTGCAAAAAAGAGGACAGGAAGGATATTCCTGTTGTGCTGGTGGTAACCTGACCATGCTTGTAGACCTCTCTATTATTCTAATATTTTCTCTAAGACATTCTGTGGAAAGATTGATTCTGCTGAAGTAAAACATTGTTTGTCCGTGTACATGCCGTCATGTGAACGGAGGAATCTGCGCTTTGTGTTAACATCTTTCGCAAAAGTTATTTACCTGCTCTTTAATTGTTTCTTGTTTAAACTGATTGGTGGTAATCAAAATGATTTTGTGAGCGTTTAGCTGAGATTCTGATGTCATACATGTCTATATCTAAATGACAGACCTAGTGGCACAGCCTGTGAAACCCTCTGACCCTGGTATCAGGGGCACTAGGGTTCAACGGGTTAAGCTAAACTAATGATTGGTTTTAGAACTGAAGAAGTCCAGTCACCTTGTTTTCAAGATCCCAAGACAGTGTTGGGCCATATTCCAGTCAGCACACTGCTTTCTATGTTGAACAAACCAGGCTAACGCAGGTGAATCCTCTCTAAAGTCATCAATAATTAAGTTGGTCCCCACTGATGTGCTTTTCATTTGATTCACCCTCTCCTAAGCAAGGCAGTATGTGCACCGAGATAAGATCAGGCTTTGTAAAAACCAGCTGGTGCAGTCAGCCCCAGATCACTGCACATATCCCCAATTTTACTCGAAAACTAGTGCTACAGCTCTGGTAGAAGTAATTAAGTACCAGTGAGGTTTGTAGGCGAGCTTAAACATGAGAGCATCATCTTGTCTACAGACTAGACCCCAAGGAAACATAGAGTATAAAATGTGGACATACTGTAATGTCACGCATTGATTTGCAAAGTCCCTTCTTCTACTGAGCATTTTCATTGCAGTCTTGGTGTTTTGAAACCAGCTATGGTGAGAAAGAAGCAGGTCTGACTGTGAAACTGCATGCTCATTGGCCAGCTTATTGTTGACAAGTTATTAGCCAATGAACATACTCTGAAACAAGATTTATAAAAATGACCTTGTTTTTGTTCATTATGGCCCAAAATGAGTAACCACAAGCACAGCAAAGAACATGTCCAGAGGTCAAGCTCGATGGGACCAGGAGTCTTTTTTGGTGTCCCCCCCCCCGATGGCCATTAAACAAAGCAGATATTTAAGGCATGTCATATTGGCTTTACTTTTCAGACCTGGGAAGCTACGCCCATCTTTTATACTGTTTGACAAAATAGCAAAACTGACAAAAACTATTATAATGCAAATTAAACAAATCTAAATCTGCTCTTCTTTTTAACATCGCTTTTTTATTTCACTTGTAATACGTTCCTCTTTGTGATCATTGAGAAAAAAACTGAAACTTTTAACAATACTTGATTTTAACATTAGATTAATTTGACATAATGACATTTATTTATTCCATTTACGAGCAGCTATTACTGCAAATGAAACCATAAATGTCCAAAAATATGATGAAATCCTTTTTTTATTTTGAATGCACAGATCCAAATTGATATTAGTTTTGACTCATGAAGAAATAAAGAATTAAGCTATTTGAAAGTACTGACTGTTTGATATTCATGTCACGTACGTGACGTGGGAACTTTCCCCTAATCAGGGTGCACAGGGGTAAACACTAAATGTAATCTGAGTGTGATAAAAGTACAAATATACTTAGTGACTGTGCAGATACCGAAGCTGAAGTGGTCATTTTCATAGCGGTCGAATCCAAGCACACATAGACGCACACTCACTCATCCACCACGTCTATTCTCCAACTGGCTGCAGTCCAAACTGACACATGGGGAGAGAAGCAGCAGAAGGTAGGCCTGTCCCAAACAGCTCAGTCTCTGTCTATATGAGGCTGCAGGAAGCCACTGAACAGCTGCTCAAGGTGAACGTCCAATGAGGCATGTGCAAATATGAAGCTCGAGACTGGGAGAGAGACCTAAAGACAGAGACCGAGTGAGGCACACACACAGAGGGGAGGATGAGTCAGAGAATCAGAGGGAATAGGCTCATGAGTGACAGACGCAGAGGGGCAGGAAAGATCATTATACCCGATAGGGTTCGCTGAATCGAACCTCCGATTTCAGTCACGGCGACATGTTTGAATCTTAACAGGGGTGTCTTTTGTTTGCAGCGTGACAAGAGTCTCAATTTGGATTTGAATCATGGACGGACATCATGGACAGAAACTGCTCTAGCGAAATTGTAAAAAAACAAAAAAACAATTGCACCACAGAAAATCTGACAACTTATCACATTGGCCAAAGAGCATCCGATCCACTCACCAGTTCTTTTTGTGTCCATAGGTGTCCTGAAAGCAGCTATACTTGCAGCAGAGGACTTTTAAGTGCTCATTCACACTCGCAGCCTCCCTCCTTTGTACGTCATAAACCCAGATATAACTATGTAATTTAAATCATTGTGACATGATGAATATCTGTGAGCTTCTCAGTAACCCCGGCCTTAAATCCAACTCCTGTTCATCTTCAACCCGAAGCCTATGGCTAAAAAAGAGCCAATTCCCACTTGTTTGTCTGTACTGTAGACTGGATGACTGAATACTGAGAACCTTGAATAAGGCCCTACATAGTGTAGAGAAGAATAGGGCCGTTTACTTATGGCATATATTGTTCATTATGTCAAAGCAAATAACCAAGAAGCATGGATTTACAGCAGAATAATGTGAGTCTGTGTTTTATGTACACCATGTCTGTTGAACTATTTTGATGTTAATGGGATAAAACCTGTTCATGAGGGCTAGCATGACTCTGCTATTGTTCACACCCATGGTATATATATATATATATATATAAATATACTATTTCTATGAAAATATAAATGTCTAATTATGTATCAACACGGAAAAGAAATAAAATATTTTCAAAGCACCATGTATGTGTCATCTTGTTTGCTGCACTCGCTGTACATCTGTAATAATTATACGTTTATACAAAATGGTAACTATTTACAGCTTTTGATTCATTCACTTGATCAGTTCACTTTTATTTATTTTATTTATCACTGTATATACCTCCAGTCCAAAATAACAATCATCTTGAGACCCTTTAATATTGTAGGGCCTTTACCTTACAGTAGGGCTGAACGATATATCGCATTTGCGATAATATCGCGACATGATCAAGTGCAATTTTCTAACCGCAAAGGCTGCGATTAT